TCCTATCATCTATCTATCTATCTATCTATCTATCTATCTATCTATCTATCTATCTATCTATCTATCTATCTATCTATCTATCTATCTATCTATCTTCTTTCAATGACTGGAAGAGCTTAGTTTAACATTTCTCTTTGGTTAATTTCCATTTAAAAGGTATATTTTTTAATATTTACATTTATTTTGATATGTGTGTATATATTCCTGCTACTGTTCTACCTGAGTACCTGTTTTTGAACCATTTGTAAGAACAGCCTCTAAAATAACAGCAATTTCCAACATGAAGAAGTCATTGCATGTGAATTGGGCATCTATATAAACCTTTTAAGTAAATAAATAAATAAATGCTGTTTGCCATCTGTATCAAAAATAGGACTTTTCTTTCTTATTTAATTGTTCATGAGATATTTTCATTCATCCATTTGATTTTAACTTTTTTTTAAAAAATGCTAGGTATATGCCACTTTGATTTAGAAGGTCAGTGCTAAGGAAATGCAAGCCAGTGCTTGTTTGTTCTCTCAATTACTATATACTCCCCCAACCACTCCCCTCCCCACAAAAAAAAAACAGTTCAGCAATTGACAGACAAATTAATTGAGTATCTAGGCAATTTAATGAGAACATTTATGTGCTGACAAGCTGCTTAATAAGAATGGGCAGTCAGAATTCAATATGTTTAAACAACAAATGGTTGTTTTTAACCCTGCCTTTTCAATTCCAAATTCCAAGCTATTTCCCCTCAGGGTTTTCCAATCAACTGGGAAAGAATCCAATGACATATGTGAAATCATTCCCTTCCACTTAGCACTGTTTACCAGGCCCATCAACTGCCTATTGAACAAGGTTAATATATGTCCTATCTAGATTTTGTACTACATCACTTTTTTGAGTTACTGATCTGTCACTCCCCTTTCCAGATTCTTTCACAGTAAAGATTTTTTATGCTATTTTCTTTATCTGTGTCATCCTGAAGGTCATTTTTTTCTTTCAGCAGCAAATGTACTGTTATATACAGCTGTAAGCCTTCCTTTCTTGCTCTTATCAGCCTCTCAGGAATATTGCATAATTTTTCATGAGTGTTTCTGCTGAAAAAAGAGTATCTGGACTCAAAAATACAGATATAAGGAGTTTGGTAGTCTTAGGTGGTAATACCTAAAACCTCTGAAGTTAGAGTGCATGGCTTAACTTTAACTCTTGGGTGCAAGTGAAAAAAGATTTGTAGCATTAGTGGCATTTCTACTACATAATATTAGAGAACAAAGAAAAAGAATGTCACAAGAAAAACATCCAGGCAAACCATTTTATTTGGCAGGAAAATGAATGGATATGAAAGGAGTGTTTACTGTTTCTAGGTCTGGAAGTAGAGCAGCAGTTCATTTATTATTTTCTAAATTTGGATAATTCTCTTCAATTAGACCAGGAGTTAGAGAACTTGAATTTATTTATATTTCTCTTCCACTTGAAATCAAGATAAAGTAGAAGTTTAAAAGTTAAATTATCCTAGGACATCATGTCCCTGCTGTTAATGCTGTACTTGCCTGTTATTGAGAAACAGTTTTGAAGTATATCAGAAAGTTTCTTAGCCAAATTTCTTTCTACTAGCAAAGGGGTACAATTCTAACTTCTATCATTACATGCACAAATATATTAGGATCGTATTTTATTTTACAATTTGTAGTTTAATTTGTTTTCTGGAGTGTCAATATGATCTTGATCCTCATTTCAAACTCATACAATTAGACAGGTATAAAGAGCCACTTAGGCCATCAAAGCAAGTAATTGCTTAACGTAGAAATCCAAATCAACATACTAGATTGCTACATAGATTCTGACTTTTTATTTATTTTTAATAAGTTTATTAAATATTATATTACAGAAATAAAACATATTCAAACACAAACATAAAAATACATTAAAAATAAGAAAAGAGCAGAAAAAGAAAGAAGAGTAAAAAGGAAGAAAATGGGAATTTAAAGAAAAGGCTTCCTCTTCATCTTTAGCAGGTTTGATCCACATGATCATCTTATCACTATATCTTAAAACATATTACCAGCATCCCTTCATTTCATAACTTTGTTCCGAAGACAGAGAGGGGGGGGGAAGGAGAGAGAGAGGAGGGAGGGGGAGGGAGGGGGGGAGGGTCTAGAAAAATTTCAGCAGTCCGTCCTGGCATTCAGATATGTTGCTTTCTTTTAGAAAAATATCAGTTGGTCATTACAGC